GCGGGGCAGCCTTGGCGCTGGCCACGGGTACTCCACCACCCCGCGGGCGGGGGACGCAAAGGCCTGGGCGAGGACTGCCCTCTCCCCCCCGCCCCCCACTGCCTTGGGCAGCGGTCACCCTCGGTCTCCCTTCCTCCGAGGAAGGGCTGTCAGGACCCAGGGAGCCCGAGGACGGTCTGAAGGCCGCCGGCTTCCTGCAGGCCAGCCCAGGGATTAGGCTCCGGAGGCAGCACCCTGGCTCCGAGGCTACCAGCCGTCGGCTGCAACTGGTACGGCTGCCACATCTCAGCCAGCGGGGCCACCAGCCCCTTTGAGTTCTCCCCAGGCTCACAGTCTGCTCCATCCTCACACACGGGCTCGCTGTCGCTGTAATTCCTGGTCTCTTGGGAGAAATGAGAGCCCAGTCCCGGGACTTCCACGTCCACATCTGCCACGTTTCACAACCAGGACGGAAAATCCCTGGTGCGGCTGGATTCTTTAATGGGCAGGGCCTCTGGGAGAGGCCCTTGGAGGTGGTTAGGTGACCCCACGTGGCAGAACCTCGCCATAGGGTGTTCTTGGCTGGACTCCAGGGGAGTGGATTCCCTGTAGGACAGGGTCAAACTGCTCGTGTGGGTTACGGAGGCAGTTTGCCTTCCCGGCAGCAGAAAGCCTCACCTCTTTTCCTGGGGAGTAACTGAAGTTTGAATTGCTGGTGGGTTCAAACTGCCAACCTTTAGGTTAGCCTAGAATGTTTCACCATTGAGACCCCACGCCAATGAAGCTTGCGTTGCAAGGTCCCTTCAAGACCCTGTATTTAATTTTGTATTCATCATTTGATGTTTTTATTAAGAAGCCCTTCCCTCAAGTTGTACTAACTTCCACCAACCCAGATCTGACCGTGAGAGCAAAACTGCATGACACAGATGCCCTTGACCCTGTTACACTGAGAGAAATCTCGACTCCAAGAATGTTTCACATCCTTCCCTAGCAGAGCTCCAGTCCTGGCTCCTGGCCCTGCGCTTCTTGGCTAGG